CATACCAGAGCCGCAACCCTGGAACAACACTCCACCAACTCAACCCTCTCAGCATCCTCCTCGTTCGATGAATATTGTCAAAAGTTGAAAGATATCGCCACACAACTCGGCGATATCGATCAACCTGTATCTGAAAGTCGACTCGTTATTCAGATGGTTCGTGGTCTTCCTGTTGAATACGATACTATCGGGGCTATCATCAATCAGCAATGTCCCACGTGGGATGAGGCCCGTGGTATGGTAGAAGCAGAGCAACAACGACAGGCGGCTAGATCAAACTCAAGCCGTGATATTGTGCTAGTTCACCCATCCTCTTCCGCCGGTCAACAGCAAAGTAGAAGCAACAACCCCCAGGATCACACCGACACCGGGCGATCCCCATACCCTAACGGGTATCGGGGGAACAACTACGATCCGGCAAAGGCAGAGCGTGGCAGGGGGCGCGGTGGCCAATTCTCAGGCCGAGGAGCAGGTCGATCACATTGGGGGACACAGTCAAACAACACCCCATACAATTCAAGATGAACTTTCGGTCCAGCAGGGCATACAGGTGGGCCTCGGTTTGACCAACTTCAACATGGGCCACAAGCTCAATATCCATCCTGGACACCACCGTCGAGTCCACTCCCGTCTATGCCGGCCCAACTTAACCCGTCGCAGGCCCACATCATGCAGATGCAGCAGCCCGCTTTATTCGCTCCACCGGGTTTCGGTTTTAACCAACAAACTCCAACGGGTTTCAATGCTCTCTCTCCTAATGACATCGGAGCCGCCATGACCACTTTGAACCTCAAGTCCAACGATCAGGCACAATGGTTTATGGACACGGGAGCATCTTTTCACATCACTTTCGATTCAGGTAAAATTAAAGTTCAAAGTTCATTACCCGTCAACCCTATATTTGTCGGTAATGGTGACTTGTTGCTTATTCATGGTTCTGGTAATGGCTTTTACAACACACATCTATCCTCCACCACATACACTTTTCTTGATGAGGAAAGTCCAAGTTTTGATAATGTGTCCTTTCCTACTCCTACACCAGCCGAACATTAACACCCACAACCGGACCAA